GCCCATGGACAAAGGACCAGAAATTTTTGTAAACTGTAGCCGTAGATCCCATCCATGTTCCCACTGAGGTCAAATAAAACAACTGTCTACATCAGATACAGGAGCCGAATTTGGCTCAGAGATCATGTAAAAGTCAGTGGAGCAAGACTGAACATAAATTCAAAGCAGGCAAGAACTTGCCTGACTTAGGGTGCATTTTCTTTAAATACAGTTGTCAGAAAAGTTTTCAAGGCGGCTTAATAATATATGAAGCAAATGGCCATAGAAAGATATTTCTGAGCCACAGGGGGCCACAGAAACACAGGTTGAAGCAAGTATTTCAAAAAAGGATAATTCTCACTGGTTTTCTATTCAGAAGTAATTTGACCAACTCTCTTCAGACTTTGAGCATGCATTTTCCTTTGCCTTCACAGCGATCAAGAGGGTTTTCAGGCTAAATTAATTTTCCAGACAAAAGATAGGGCTTTACAAAGAAAACAAATTGCAGCCTCAACTATGGACAAACTTCTGTTTCTCCACAGCAATTTGATAAAATTACAGCAGCACTTTGAAAACGAATCAACCTTTTCTACTGCAAATCCAGGAACCCAGTATAAATATGCCGTACTGTTGCAAGTGTGTGTACTTACCAGGCACATGCCAGGAGCGATCACCAACCAGCATATCTTAATCAAGGGCTGCGGCCGGAAACCAATCATGTCCTCAATGTTATCATAGAAGCGGTCCGCACCTTGGCCACCAACCAGAAAAGAGACAAAGACAGAGATGAGGAGGTGAGATTTTGACTATTTTCTTCAATAATACTCATATCAGATCCCAATGTTCGTTATCCTTAATGCTTCTTCTCTGCAAAAAAGCGGCTGTCCTAACAGTACGACAGCAGGTGATGGGCTTTTCTGACATTCGAAATGCCCAATTTATATGCCTGAATACAGATGGCAGTGTTTGATTTATCCATAACTTTTCAAAAAGCTTGACATAAAAGAAGTATCCTGTCCCTCAGACAGCAGCAGCCCTAAGACAGAGGATGCAGCTGTTGTATTACTAACAGCTGGAACTAAACCCTGGTATAAGGCAAGTAGGTATGTCTGGCATACAGGTCAGCAAGAGAAAGCTCACATAGGCTGAGCTCATGGGAATGCGTGAGTCCAAAACGTTGAAAGGAAGAAAGAGAGCAGAAGATACCAAATAAAATTTTCTCCTGTACCAAGACTGGCACACCAGGGAATTTCAGGTCAAGTATCCTCACCAAACTGGACATTTTCCTTGTCATCAAGAGTCTGCTTTCCTCAGACCATTTCACTTTCTGCCTAGCACAAGAAAACCTGGCAATCCAGGCACTACTGGTAACTAAATCTTCCATCTGCTAGTGTTGCTGTCTTGCCCAGTGGGAGTTGCCCTGTGGGAATCTGATCTCCTCTTTCTCTTCCCATTAGCTTTACTCACTAGATTACATATGCTCCATCAACCTGAATCTCATAATGCACCTGGGTGGGAAATTCCTCTGAAGAGCATCTAAAAGTCCTGCCACTGACCAAACCCTATCTATGCTAAGCACTGACTGTTCCCAACCTAAAGCACAAACAGGAAATGTGTGTAATGGTATACACAGGAGAGAGTGTAATCCAAATGGACTTCAGCAGGCCTTTAAGTAAGCTCTAGGATGTCATCTAGGAATAAAAGCCTAAGGCTGGCCAAAAAGAGGTGTAAAATGAAGAAGACTCAAAGAATCATTCATAACGTGGCATAACATCTTCACCCTAACTACAGCCAATCAGAGGTACAAGATCAGAGTGCCTCAGGTAAAATAGGGTAACAATATTAGACCAAAACCTGGAGCTAGCCTGTCCAG